TAGGAATTTAAAGGAAATCTTAAGCTGCAGGGTGCAACGCAGGCAATTAAATTACAACTTGAAGCTACCAATGTATTTGCAACCTACAGAACAGAATGCCTTTGTTTAAACTACCTTAGCATTAAGGATAGTTGATCAAACACTCGTGATCCTCTTTATTCAATAAAAAATATGGATAATAAAGGAATGTTATTCATTGTTTCAATTTCATTAGCAAAGAAACCAGGCTTTTGCAACCCTTGTCAAAGAGTTACAAATGGAAAAGATTCAGTTCATTTGGAGACCACAGCTTCACCAGACTAATTTATCCTCAATTCTACAAAAGGCCTTTCTTGAAAACTGCTAATCCCCTACAAAACTTCAGTGCTTGATCAATGTTCTCCTTCTGCAGATGTTGTGGTAACCTGGTAACCCTAACCAGCAAGAGGGACAGCAGCACATGCATCAATCAGAGCTCACACTTTGTCTATACTGCACCTTTTAAAAACAGGCAATGGGTTGTTGCACTGAAGTTTTATCCTTGTTCAAATAAAGTAAGAGGCATTAACAGAATCAGATTTCCTTAAATTACACTATTGCAAGGGGCTATAATTGTATTACACCTATTATGTTGCTTCCTTAAGACTTTATATTATGTACACTTAATTGAGATACAGAGCTCTTTTCAGCTATAAAAATGACAGCTACTTCATTAAGGTTTAAATCTTATTTCTTAATGATAGGATGCTTCCTTTCAAGATTCAAAACCTGCAGAATCTTTTCTGATAATCAGACTGAACCTGATTTAAACAAGCACTTTGTGTACAGCGCTTACAGGTTCTAATGGCATTTGATTTAGCGAGTAAGGCCATTACTACTTCTCCCTGTCTGAATGCAAGGAATCTGATTTAATTTGTCAATAAAGCTTCATATGCTATACCTGGCTTAGCACAAGGCACACAAAAATCATCAGCCACTTGTGGCAACACCCCCAACACACCCCCAAACAAGATGTTAAAGATACTCTGAATAACTGGGGACAGCTGCATTTGGACTTTCTGTGGGTGCAGCCCTAAGTGGTGTGAACTTCTGAGCTGGAGAAGTTGTGGTTTTTTGCTAGAATGCTTTCAGTTCATCTGTAAATACTGAAAACGTGCTCACTAAAGTTGTACAGTTCCATGTCCTTTAACACTCATAGGGACATGGCCATAAATCTTCACCGCATGAGCTTGCCTTATAGGGGGCACTTTGAGTGCCTCAGAAAGGAGCCTTACTGACCTCTGCCACATTTACACCCAGTTTGTATTTAAAGAGCATTTCAAAGAGGCACTCCAGCCATTTCTGCGATGTCCATACTGCACGAGTCCCAGAGACCAGTCAAAAGCTTAGCCATCCTGGCTGTCCTTATACCTTCAATCAAGTCCTGAGCACGTCTTCAGTTCCACTGATCATGATGATCAAGCTGCTTTGACAACAGCATTTTGTATAAAGGTAATAACAGTCCATATTTGGAAGTTCCTGGAACCACTGATTTTGGTTCAGAAGTATGGAGAAGGAAGCCTAGCAGAGCAATACACAGCTTTATCATAAGCCCAACTATTAATGTCTGCTGAGAGAAGGCAGTTTCCACCCAGTATAACTGCATACCTGCTGTATAACCAGGGTTTGTAATATGTTGCAGTGCACTTCTGAGAGGCTAGATGGAGCATGCTTGTGTTACAAGAGATAAAAACATGGAAACAAAATATACTGCAGAACTCAAACACCTTATCTTTACTCAACCTCTCTTTCTTTGCAGTAATTCATTCAAGGAAGCCCTAAGAATAATTTTTGATGTAAACTCTGCTGCAAACATATATCACTATGCTGATAAAAATCACCGAAAAAAAAACTTAGGAACTATAGTGAGTTTCACTCCTTTATGCCACTAAAATAACTTTTTTCTTTTAAAATTCAGTGGATACAGATCTGTTGCTAAGCATGCCCCTCAGATGCATCAATTCTGGGTTGTCACTACAAATCTCTGGTGTTGTCCTAAAACATGCATTCTGGTATGTCTTTAGTGAACCTGGAGGAGGCCACCAGACTTCAGGAAGAGTCATTGTCGCTGTTTCAGAGTATGCTAGATTTTCAGTGTGACAATTATAGGGACTGATGTGAAAGATAGAATTGGAGCCCCAACACCACATCTCCCTTCTGCATCCCCTAGAAAACCCTCTGCTCAAGGCCACCATCTCTCTGGCTGTGGAAGTCAATCACAGTCTTGGGAGGCTGAAAAAACTCCTTGCTCTTTATGTTGATGTGTCTGCACTTCACTGCGCAGTGGTACCAGCTGTCCAGACTGCACAGCATGGGCTACCTCCACAAGATCAACAGCTGTCCAACTACAGACCACATGGAGATCTGGGGATGGAGAATCTGTCAGTGGCTGTATGATGTCTGCTGGAGGTATGAAGGCTATGATTTCTGTGACAAAAACCTGGGCTTTCCAGGCTGGATTTCCAGATGCAAACTTAGAGGTGTATTTATTTACAGGTGCAAAATTTCACTTGGAGCCTGGCTGAAAGTCAAGCCTTCACGGATTTTATCCAGTATCGCTGAAGGACCAGTCTGCTGCTGAAGCTATACTGTGGATTCCTGCTCTGAGTATGGGAATAATGCTAGACAATTTGACTGGAAACACCTCACCTCAACATCAGACATGCACTGAGAGCAGGGAGAAACTGGTAAGAAAGACAGGGGAGAGGAAAAGTGGCTTGTCCAGAGATGTGACATAGAGCTCGGATTAGCGTCCAAGATTAAGGATAACAAAAAGTCCTTTTTCAAATATATTGGGAGGATGAAGAAGGCGCCGGGTAATGTGGGACCCCTGCAGGATACGCTGGGCAATCTGGTGGTTGCG